TTTATAAAATGTTATATTATTAAACCAAAAATAAATTATTTCATTATTAAACTTAAATTAAATTATAATTTTTTTTAAAGAAATCTATACTACCTTATTAAGCAAATTTAGTAAAAATCTTAAAGTCTTAAAATTATAAATGACCAAGATACCCTTATCTATCCTACCTTTACCTATACTTTTCAACCCTTTTCCCTTTACCCGGCTACCCTCCCAAAACGTCGCTTCCATTGCTCCCCTCCCCCGAGACGACGTTTCAGACAAGTCGTCCCTCCCAAGACGACGATTCAGGGATTTCTCTCACTCCCCAAGATGACGATTCCCTTTAAAAAGAGTTTCCATCGCTCAATCGTTCAATCACTTACTGATCCATCGTTCAATCCTCCCTCCCATCTTCTCTCAATCTTCCATCGTTCAATCCATTACGATTCATGCATTTCTCTCAATCGTTCAATTCGTCTCCATCTCCAAGTAATTATTTGGTTTTTATTAACATTAAAAAAAATCAGGGTTTTTGAGTGTGAATTCCAGTTGTGTTTACTGTGAGCTAACAACCAAATCAAACGAATGAAGACAACACGCCAACCCTTGTTCTACCCTAAGACCGACTTATATTCTGATTTGTATCATCCTCATGTGTGTAAGCTACCATGAACCTGTCTGTATTTTCGGGTTCATATGTAGTAAATTTATTAGATATATGACATATGCCCATTGTCTGGTTACTGTGTTTTACATTGCATGTTGCATTTCTAGGCTGTTCTTTTTTAGAATTTATGGGATGGGGAGGGATATAGGTCAGCAAAATCATTATTCATGGGATCTTTAGTTTGTTTGACTATGCGGACTACTTGCTTGCCAATTGAAATTTTCAGAAAATTTACCTTTCTCATTATGTCACTTCCAAGTGCCACATGTTACAATGGGAGGGGGAGAAGATTGGTGAACGGTGAGAATGCCATATTTCTAAGTTACCTGTGCTTTTTTTTTTCTTTCCAAAGATAGGAAACATAGCTATTCTATTAATTTTATTCAATCAAGTGTAAATTTTTCCAAATAATTGTATTTAAAATCTTTTTAGATCGTAAAGTGGACCAACTTTCTGGGATTTGGGGAGCTTGGAGGGGGGAGGGGAAATATGACAAACCATCAAATTTGTAACTAATACTCATAGTATCTGATTAAACACTTAGAAAAGAAAATTTAAACTTGCCTTACAAGAATTATATCCTATGAAATTCATCTATCGGATATAGTCTCAATATAGTAACATATGAACCTCAAGCCTTAGGTCTCAGGTGTAACTCATTCGTTGGATCCTTTTGTATAGATTGTGGAGCTAGCTCTGTCACCTTTAAGATTTTAACCATCCAATCAAGGAAATTTGATAGACTTTCTTATTGGTCACTTAAAGCTTAAAGATTCATATGTCTACAATATGTACAAAGTCTCTTTGTATTTGATGAAACATCTTCATAATATTTCTATAGCTGGAAATCCGATGCATAGCTTATATTTTGGAATAGAAGAAGATATGATTTTTACTTGTAAAAGTATTGTAACTATTTGTATTGATCCAAGAGCAAAATGTCTTCAACAAAATTGAAGACTAGTTGAAGTGAGGTCAAGATCGTCTTCAAAGCGGATTGATTTGCCATCTATACAAAAAGATCAATACAAATAAAGTCAACTAGTAGTTTGACAAATACTAATGGCAAGCTAAATTTTGGAGTACAAATTTGTCCAACAAGTTTGGCTCACTAACTCTCCAACACCCATTTTGGTATGAGAACATGCACAAAATGTCAACCAAAGTAAGTTCTAAAGTACTATTTTATTAGTATCATACTTCCTTTATTATTCCCTCGGTAGAAAGATGGGATAGGTTAACAAGTGTCTACATCAACCTCAAAGACTGAAATGAAGAGTACTAGCTAGCATACATGGATCAACAAATCAAATGAAGACACGTGTTAGAATTGGACAATAGCATTTAATGCAATGACGACTATAAAAGGTCTGCCTAGTCATTCATTATTACTCACCCATTTTGAAAAGAACTTTTTTGTGATAGTCTTTTAGGCAAAATCAGTGTCAACATCTGAAGAACTTTATAGTCATTCAGATATGAAATAGTACTTCTTCCCCGCTCTTTCAGTGTTAGAAAATTTATCACCGGTCAGATTGTTTAGAATCACAAATCTTACTTTCCTAGCTTCCACGACAAATATGCAATTCTTTGTTTTATACGAAATATAGAATATTGGATTAAAAAGTGAAATTTTATTGTGTTTATACTCACCCCCCCCCCTCCTCTACAAACACCTCATATGCAAGTCATCACTTTCCATGACCAACAGAAATTAAGACCAAAAAGAAAAATGGTTTCAATTTGTAACTTCGAAAATGAATTGGTGGACTAGTGAATTTGTGAAACTTTCTTACCATCTTCAACAATTTATTCAGCAAGAAAAACCAAACTACATTGTTATAATAATATTTCTACAATGACCACAGTTTCATTTCTTCAATACTTCAAAATTAGTAATAAAAAAAAAGATTCTAAATGAATGAAAATACAATAAGAACCACAAGTCTAGAACAATATGATTTATTTTATTATATTTTGTATATTCAATTTACATAAATACTGCAATGAGAGGATTTTGTTTATAATCAAGTATTATAAATACTGCAATGAGAGGATTTATTTTATTATTTAAAATAGGGCCCAAAACTTGTCAGGAACTGACCTGGGGGAGGCTACTTTAAATGAAGATCACGGGGGTAGGGGTGGGTTTTGTGGTGTATATATGTAATATGTTATAGAGTGAATTAAGGTTTAGGTCCTCGTGGTTTATAATTCAATAAGACAAATTAGAAAAGAAAAAAAATTGAGAAAAGACCAAATTACCCCTCACTTAACGGGTAGGCAATCGCCAGTGCCACAAACCAAAACTGTTATAACCGTTATTAGAGGTCTAGGAGTTGTTTTTGTTATTTACCTATAGATGAGGGTTTATTTTGAATTTATGGGTTATAAAAACCCGACAGCATCGTCTCATCTTGTTCCAAAAAGAGAGTTTTATTAAAAGTGATATGTCTGGGTTATCCCTAGAGTGTGCATCGGGAATAATAAGCCAAGAAGGAAAGAATTTTGATGTTTGGTTTAAATCCCTTCTCTTTCAGTCGTAAGATATGTCGTCTTTAATCTTCAAGAAATTAAGGTTTGTGTTAAGTTTTTAGTTGGTGGCTTTGGGTACCTTGATTTAATTGTTGTATATATATATATATATGTATGTTCAAGTGAGAAGCTAAACATTTTTGCGAGAAGGCAAGAAGTTTCGGTATCATATATGATTACACACATGATACATAAGCTTAATCATATATGATTAAACACATGTTGCATTGACAACACATAGATGTTTAATCATATATGATTAAACACACCCAAAAGAGTATAATCATAAATGATATTGAAATTTATCGCTTTCTCACAAAATGTTTTACTTCTCGCATGATCCTTCATCCATATGTATATATATATATATATATATATATATATATATAGGTTTTGTGGGTTCAAGATTCTTCCATAAAAATCTGTGGAATCCTTTCTAAGTAAGTGTCCATGTCCATATCAGTTTTGAAATCATCTATATATATATATATATATATATATGTATAGGTTTTGTTTTTGTACGTGTCAAACTAGTGGGTTATTTTGATTCATGTTATGGGAGAAATCTTTGATTTAGAAATCCTTGGGATTCTTAATGAGGATTTAAGTTCTTTTGATATAGAAACCCATGATATGTTGGTTTATTTGAGTTTGTGTTTAAAAAGAGGGAAATTTTCAGGGATAAATCTTTTGATTTGAATGTTTGGAGTTGTTAGGTTGAAACAGGGGAATAAGGACGAAACAGTAGGCCACACGAACTACCCTGCGACCTAAGTCGCGCGGCTAGTGCAAGCCACTATTTTGCGGGTTTTTTCCAGTGTTTGCTTCATGTTTTTTTTGGGATACTCCGGGGTACTGTTTATGTACTTTATAGGATAATTAGAGGGAAGGTTGATTTTATTGTTCGGATTGTGATATATGCTACCCTAATTCAGATTGAAGTATTTGGTTTTGATCGTTCGTTCTGGTTAAAGTTTATTTCCTCATTATCATCATCGAGGTGAGTTTTCTTGTAACATTTTTTGAACTGAAATGCATATATTATCATATGTTATTGTTTCAAGTGTTATACCTTATTGGTATGTTTGGGTTATTACTGTTAACTGTGATAACACATGTGATTTGATAAATGATTTATAGGTTGAAGGGACTTGCACAACAGTGCGTTGAGACTATGATGGTACGTGCATAATACATACATACACACACACACACACACACACATATATATATATATATATAGGTGGAGGTTCAAACAAGAACACTCCTGTTTTACGAGAATGTAAGAACATTTATGGGCCTCAAAATTATTTAACTCATAATTAAAACTAAAAGAAAATAAACTAATTAATTAAGGATAATCATGCGATTTCGTATTTCTGTAATTTTGGTGACATCTTTATCTTTAGAATCACATACAGATAATATGTTAACCGGTATCAAATAATTATCACATTCTAATCACAGCAAAATCACATAATGAACAGACAAAGTGATGAATGTAGATGTCATCATCATTGATATTCGATTATCACAACATTATCACATTTCTATCACAACAAAAATCATATAATTATTAGATGATTGCTAGATCATAAAAAGTCTTCAACTTATTAAATCATTATTATATTATTATCATGGCAAAATCAGATAATTATTACAATATTATCACATCATTATCGACAATGGACGGATCAACATAAGAAACCCTGGTGATAATAACAAAATTTAAGAGATAAAGATAAATCTAAGATAACAGATAATTATGAATAAATACTAATTCATTTTCATTTATTCTAATTTTTATTATGTATTAATTAATTTGGAAGTCCAAAAGTGTGCTCGTATTTTCGTAGAACATGAGTATTCTCGTTTGAACCTATATATTTATATTATATTATAAAACATTTGACAAAAACTCTTAAAAACCACTTTATACATAAAATATTGTTTATTAATGCATGTTACTTAAAACTTAAGATTACAAGTAGATTGTGCGTAAGTACAACTTATTAAAGCTCCATATCTGAATTCGTGTAACTAACTGCAGATAAACATAATTAAATATAGGATAAACATCTCATTTTAATTATAAAAAATCTAAAATATAATTAAGATAATTATTAAGTTCTAACAGAATGCTTAATATTATCTTTATAAAATGTTATATTATTAAACCAAAAATAAATTATTTCATTATTAAATTTAAATTAAATTATAATAAAAAAAAAAATTAAAGAAATTACATAAAAAATGAGAACTTTTAAAGAGTTGATTTGATATTAACATTAATATTTTTTTTCAAATTTTTATAATATTTTCAAATTTATATTTTATTCCAAAATAAAATCATTATTGTTTTCTTAAAAACACAACCCTATGCCTAGGTACCAACTATATGTTTACTGATTTAAAAGGTTTCATATGAACTGGTTTTCATTGTATTGCACTGACATAGATTTCTTTACTAGACCGTATGGTCTAAACCTCACTTTATTTTCAAAAATATACATTTTAGGGCAACAACAATTAGAAGGTAAAAGAAAGTGAAAAATGCGAGACCTTCTATTTGGATGTTCATTTGAAACCTATTGAAGAATTTTTATGAAATCTGCTTTTGATCTTCATGATATTTAGATCTTTTTATATAAAAATGTCATTAACAAAAATTTTGTGATAGACTTCAGACAGTTATATAGTTTTATAGAATAACACCCAACTGATAACCCCAATATGACTTGTTATTTTTTATTGTTATATGTTATATGTTATATGTTATATGTTATATGTTATATGTTATATGTTATATGGAATGATGATTTGTTACAAAAACATTACGAAATTACAATTCTAAAACTATTTTAGAATAAAAAAAACTCTCAGGTAAAAGGGTGATTAAAATTGTTTATAAAAATAATTTATTGACTTATTTCGGTGTTACACCGGTAATAAACACTTTTTAGATAAATAACTTATACCGGTGCTAAACCGGTAATAAGAAGTTTTATAATAAGTTGATAAATGTTTTTATAGAAAAACTAAAAAAACCATATGGAACCAAATCTATAATTTACTTTTAGAAAATCGAACATTGGAACATATTTGTTTTTGTGGATTTTAGTTGAAAAGAAATTTCTACCGCCAGACGTCTTATTTAACGACCAAGAATCTCTCCCTCCATCGCCATCGCCCCCATCTCATTGTAAATTGACTCACATACCAATCGCTGCTTTCTAACATCGCCACCCAACTATCGTCAACGACCAAACCTCTCACCACCTGGCTTTCTTTCAACCCTTCGCTCTTGCTTTTTCGATTCTTTAATATCTACTTCCAGATTATTCCCTCCCATTTTCTTTAATTCTCTTCCAACTGTTGATTGCAATTCACGCGGTCGGTTCTTGAGGTCTGTTCATCTGATACTACCAATTCATGCTTTGTGATTGTGTTTAACTGCTTGTCTGCCCGATCCTTTACTTGAAATCTTATTGGGTTCTTGTTATCTTTTGATTTTTCATTCACTGCATGAAATTTAGGTTAAAACTCTATGTCAGACTGTGTTTTCCTTTACTGGAATTAGTTGGGGTTCTTGATTTTATGAAAGGTTTAGTGGGTTCATTGATTTGAGTGTAAATTGACTCCCAACCCAACTAATTGGTTGTTTGATCGATTGGATTTGTGAAAGTTGCATATCCCTTTTTGAAGCTTTCATAGATGATTTAACTGCTGGTTCTAAAGATGCCAATAATTAGCATTGATTATCTTATCCATTTATTGCTACATCATACCAGAATTAGGAACATTGCTCCTGATCTTAAGCCCACTTTCTTTGATGCATCTCTCATGTCAATCTTGGCTGGCATCTGTCTCCTAACAACATTGATGAAGATTGTGTCAGAACCTATAAGTTCTGGTAGAATTTATGATTAAGATATCTAATCAAAGGGGTCTTAATTCTATATCTTGATCATTTATTTATATGTCGTTGATGTGAGTAATGGAACATACCATAACTTGTGAACAAGAAAGGGCATGCATTTCTCTTTGATCAAAGATCACTCCATCAGTAGGTAAAGTTGATCAAACATAGCCGCTTACTAATTTTACAAACTGAAGCTGCAAAGGTATGTTTTCATGCTGCTATTTTTTGGTTTATTCCCACTTATTTGTGGTTCATTTTTGCAGCAAAGGTTGAAACATATATCCACTAATAGGAAAATGTCCGAGGAGAATTCTTTAATTGCTGAATCACCTAGAAGGCGTTCTGGTCTACTAAGAGATCAAGTTCAGTTGGTTAAAAAGAAGGATTCATCTCGTTACGAGATTGCTCCCATCCAAGATCCTCTTTCATTTGAGAAGGGTTTCTTCGTAGTGATCCGTGCATGCCAGTTGTTGGTTCAAAAGAATGAGGGTATTTTATTAGTCGGTGTAGCAGGTCCATCCGGGGCTGGGAAGACTGTATTTACAGATAAAGTCCTTAACTTTATGCCCAGCATTGCTGTTATAACAATGGACAACTACAATGATGCAACACGTATTGTCGATGGCAACTTTGATGGTAATTAGTGTTAATTTCTACTATTATTCTACTGGTTTATCACTTCCATGGCAGTTATCTAACAGCAGTTACTTTGATGCAGATCCAAGGCTGACAGATTACAACACATTACTTGAAAATATCCATGGACTAAAGGAAGGGAGGACGGTTGAAGTTCCCATATATGACTTTAAGTCCAGTTCACGAATTGGTTACAGGTTAGGAATCTTTCTTTTTACTAAAACCAAACGAACCCAGTATTTCTGTCCATCTAGCTGTATTATTTTCCTAAAAGTGTTTCTATCTAACAGAACACTCGAAGTTCCTTCTTCTCGCATAGTGATTATCGAAGGGATTTATGCGCTTAGTGAAAAACTACGACCATTGCTAGATCTCCGTGTCTCTGTCACTGGTGGAGTACACTTTGATCTTGTGAAGCGGGTTTTGAGGGACATTCAACGTGTTGGACAAGAACCCGAAGAAATAATTCATCAAATATCTGAAACGGTATTCTTAGTTTGACTATTTGTATAACCTTATACATTGTCTCTAAATGCTCTAAGATATTCTTGTACACAGGTATATCCTATGTACAAAGCTTTTATCGAGCCTGATCTTCAGACCGCACATATAAAAATCATCAACAAGTTCAATCCTTTCTCAGGATTCCAGAATCCAAGTTATATTTTGAAGGTCAGTTCCTGTTGAAAAGGAAATTTACAAGGGTAATTTAGAGAATTTACCTACTCATATTTCTTTTAACTGTAGTCCAAAAAGACTGTGACCCCAGAGCAGATGAAGGCGGTTCTCTCTCAAGAACATCAAGAAAGAAAAGAAGAAACTTACGATATATATCTTCTACCACCCGGTGAAGATCCTGAAGCCTGTCAATCATATCTGAGGATGAGGAACAGGGATGGGAAATACAACCTAATGTTTGAGGCATGAATCTTCTACAAAAATTAAAATTTTCTTTCGAAACTGTTGTTTTCCTCTTTAGGGTAACCCCACCTCTGGGTGGGTGGGATATACTGGGATTGTTTGATTTGGTTTGGTTTGGTTTATTGAAACATTTGTATGTTCAGGAGTGGGTGACCGATAGTCCATTCATCATATCACCTAGAATCACCTTTGAAGTGAGTGTGCGTCTTCTTGGTGGGCTAATGGCTTTAGGATACACGATTGCTGCTATACTCAAAAGAAGTAGCCATATTTTCTTCGATGAAAAGGTCTGTGTGAAAACCGATTGGTTGGAGCAACTTAATCGCACCTATGTTCAGGTAATCTATTTGAACACTATCTTAAGATCTGACGAAATTCTTTTTATGCTTTCAAGTTCCTTCTTTTGATGTTCTTTCGATCCAAATTTGGTTAAGGTGCAAGGAAGAGACCGTTTGTATGTCAAATATATTGCAGAGCAGCTCGGGTTAGATGGTACATATGTTCCTCGCACCTACATAGAACAAATACAGCTAGAAAAAGCCGTAAATGATGTGATGGTATGTGCTATTTCATACTCTCCCATCCCAAAATAAATGTCCACAATGAAAAGGCATACAATTTTAGAAATGTGAAATTATTACACTTTTTAATTAACTAAATGACAATTTTACCCTAAATAATAGAGGGATTCTGAATTTCTCCATCTTATAATTAAGGGTAGAACTGGAAAGTAGGCACCTACTTTTGAAATGAAAGCGAACACTTATTCTGAGACACACTGAAATAGAAATGTGGACACTTTGGGACAGATGAAGTCGTAAACTTTGATTATGCATGTGTGTTCGTAGTCTTGATCAAGTGGAAATTTACAGACATTGCCAGATGATCTGAAAACGAAGCTTAGTATCGATGATGATTTGGTTTCAAGCCCCAAAGAAGCGTTATCTCGTGCTTCTGCTGATAGGAGATCCAAATACCTCAACCGGTACTTTTCATCTCCATTAGACACAGATCATCGAACCTATATATATGTAGGAATCTCCGTCTTTGAAGGACTCTTTCAGAAAGATATTCAAAAGGGGTTTCATATATTCTCACAGTTTCCGGTTTTCACCCCTTGGGCCCCGCTAGAAAGCCTATGAAGTTTTCTGAAACAGTAAGAGAGGGTTATTGTTTTGAATAAAACAGCGGGAGCTCTTATAAGAACCAGGATTTCTTCTAGTTATATATGTAGGTAAGGTTTTAAATTCGAGTTGTGCATCAACAGGGGTGGTGCGCACTCGCTATCTACACGTGAACGGAATTTATCAAAGCTGACAAAACTTTCCATTAATAGTAGGAGGTTCGACGGGAGGACCCCTGATTCACCAGCACCCGTTGCAAATCAAGTAAACTCCATATCTCTTCCATTTCAAGTTTTTGTTTGTTTGTTTTTTCGGAATTTATTTAGCATTCGTTTTGATTATTTTACTTTTAGGGAGTCATCACTCACCTCTCGGAACAAATTTCCACTCTCAACGAAAGGATGGATGACTTCACATCTCGTATCGAAGAACTAACTTCGAAATTTTCTGAAAGAAGAGTCCCTAGCCATCAAAATATGGCTATGGCCGGCCAGGCCGAATCCTGCAACGGTTCGGCAACTTCACTGTTCATGGCCGGGCTGGGAAACGGTTCATTGACCGGACAACTGCTACCCAATTCCGCATCTTCTAACCAGTTGGCTCGAGAATCTCCCCTCATGGAAGAGGTACATACCCCGCCTTATATTTGAAAGTTTTTCTTTTTGCCCCCGTAGGATTTAGGGTGGTGACCGTTTTCTTTTTTGTTGGATAGGTGTTACTGATAGCAAGGGGGCAACGACAAGTGATGCATCAGATAGACAACTTAAGTAACTTGTTACGTGAGTATGGTGTAGAACGGTCTCAGCAAGATCGGGGGGCAGAAAAGAGGAACCGATTGATGGAGATTGAATCGTTTGGGATACCGTTCATCGTAACATTGACGATTGGTGGGTTGGGTTTCTTGTTGTGTAGGAGTCTGTATTCTCAAAAGTAACCAGTCTCTTGAAAAGTTTACTTACTCAAATAAATTGGGGATCAAAGTATAAGGTATTACCACTTTAATGTGTAAAGAATGGGGTGAATGTTGTCCCTGGAAAAGTATTACATATAGCAACAAAAGAAGCTTTTATTTCACAAGGCTCATTTCTTGTTATGCTGTGGTTGTTAGCTGAAAAGCTAACGGTAATAGTTTAGGAACTCGGGAACTACCCTTTTGTCTGGCTATGGAGTCGAGTTTGAGATGAACCAATCACCATTGAACCAATAGGCTCATTTGCAGCTATGGCTAAAAAGGTCATCTGACCACGAACGCCAAGAAATCTTTGGTGTAGAATGGAACGAAAAACTCATTGTGTGATTAGGCTGCTGATAACAATACATTGAAGTACATGATTTAAATTAAACAAGGAAAGCTACAAACAATCGTCATCAGAACATAGAAGCGGCAAGTGAAGTTATTTCTGAAGCAACTTCATCATATTCGGTTTTCAGCTTTTTCTGATCTTCCTCTCCAAGTTCTCCCTTTGTCGGCTTGGGGAGAACCAGAATGCAGCATGTCGGCCTCTTGGTGGCACCTGCATTTGCAAGATCCTGCAGCAACAGCAGCAGCCATTTTATCACGTATATCGTCTCGTTGGTTAACAACAATTGGGATGAGTAGTAGACAGTGGCATGAAAACCAGACTTGCAGTGCAAAAATGGATTTGGTACGCAAACAGGATTAGACGAGACTGGACAGGCAAGTGAAAGAATTCTAGGTTTTAAGGGTTAATTTAACATGGGTAATCTAGCAGTTCACAAATCTTGTCTCATCTCCCTGATTTTTGTTCCACCTATTTTGATGGAACAGAAAATGTGCATTTTTGTCCCACTCAGAGCTTGTCTTATCCCAGTTTAATGTCGCACCAAACATATGACAAGTTATTGTACCGTTCTGTCCTGATTGCCAAACGTACCCAACAAGCACAACAAGCTAACTATAGTAAACCAAACCGAACAAACCTAGTATATCCAGGCAGAGGTAATGTCTCAAGGGTAAGATGTACAAACTTTTTTTACTACAAAAAGATTTGGATATTGATCTTGGGTAATAGCAGACTAATACAAGACAGCAAACTAGAAAAGTAAAGCAATAGCAGGTAATAGAGGATTTAACAACAATAGAAGATGGCTAACTTACTTCTTTGGATGATACATATACATACGGTATATCCGCCTCTTCGCATAGCACGGGAACATGCGTTATCACATCAATTGGGTTTATGTTTCCAGCAATAACACACACTCTGCGTTCACCAAAACAAATGATCAGATTCGAAAAGAACTCATCTTTCACCCCTGAAACAAATATCTATTGTAGGTCAACCATTTGTGTTCATCAGTTAACACTTAACACCCATATCCATGGATGGTTTCTTCACAATGGTTCCATGGGGCCAGTTTCAGTGGACCCATGTGTCCGATATGCTCACCCCCTAACCCGTTTGCAGTAATGCACTAGAAAACTCAACTCTCAATAAGAACAGTGGTTTCCATTAACAAACCCTAATCCCCAAATAACGACCAGCCATAAACAATAGCATCCATGCTGTCAACTTATTAACATGAAAACTGTAGACTAAACAACTAACGATCTATAACACTATAGATGAACCCTAATGGCATATAAAATCACAAACTTGAATCAAATTGCATAATGATGAAATGAATTAGAATTACTTACCCTTTATTACCCCGTCTGATGCTCTTGACAACCTCCTTGACTCCTCTCTTTACACATTTGTGTTCGGCAGCTAAATAGCATTCAAAAGATGAAGATAAGTTTAGTAAGGATTGATTGATTGATGTTAAAGAGAAAAGTGAGTTTGATTGAATGAACCTTTGCGGACGAGTTTAAGGGTACGTTTGGAGAGTTTTTTGCCAGCAAGGGGCTTAGCGATTGGGGCTAAAGCCAGAAGCTTCTTCTTCTCCTTCTCCTTGTGTGCCGATTTCTCTGTTTCACTATCACTTCCTCCCATTTTTTTTTTTGCTCGAAAAAATGGAGGCAAAAGCAGAATTAGGGTTTATTCCTACGTTTACGTTTTTATTTTTTAGGGTTTAAGGAGGTAGTAGAAGCAGTGGTTCTCGTGTGCTTCGCACGTGATTGGTTCACCTGCGATTAACTTGGGCCGCACCCCTTACATATGCCTGGCCCAAATCATCATTTTTTTATGGGGTTCACAAAAATGGGACTAAACCTGATTAACCGAGTCAACCCAGCCTGAAATAACCTAATTCAATTCACTCCAAAATGAATCGGTACTTGATTGAGTTATAGAATCTTCAAATCATAAAGTATCGAGTTAGAATTAGGTTAGAGTCATTTGAACTCAATCCAACCCAATACTAACATATATAAATGATTCACAACCTTCTGATTCGTTTGAACTTGGCTCCAAAGGTTACCAGGAGATATCAGGTTCAAATCCAAGGAGGAATAAAAATCCCCACGGAGGTTCAAATGTGGTGACTCCATGCTATCTGCAAAGCAAGTGGTCGTCCTAAGATTAGTTGGCTCGCATAGCGGGTTGGATATCCAAATTAATAAAAAGAAAAAATGATTCACGATGATAAACTTTAGACATATTCTCGAATATTGTATATTTCAAGATAGATGTAAAAGAAATCCCAAGTTTCTAAATGATTCATGATAGCGTAGATAGTTTTTCGAAACAAACACCAATATTTCTTAAATATATATACATTTCAATGAAAAGCGTAAGAAAATATCTTCACCATTGAATGCACATTAAGATGAGATGCACGAAGATACACCGAAACAATCCCCATATCAAAGCATAATTCATGTATAAGTTTGAAATCAAATATGATCAAGGGTCCAGATTCTTTCTTACACTTCTCACCTTAATTCTCTACCTCAGATGATGTCATTGCCTATATAACATCATTAAGAGGCACTAAACAACAATAAAACAAATTAAAAGGAAGAAGTGTTAATCTTGGTCTTGTTCATACGAGTAAAAACATTTTTATATTATAAAATCAACATTTAATATGATAAATCGAATTTCACATAAAGTCTTGCAATCAATAATAATAACGAGAACGACATCGAACCCACCTATTTGAAGTAATCGAGCCATTTTCACAATGCATAATGGATCGAATGTGTATATACCATACCCGTACCTGATATTCAATCCGTCTTTATAACCAATCTATCATATGTTAATTGTGGACTTAATTAACCATTTCTTTTGCCTATGCAAGGAAAAAGATGCTATAAATAAACTCTCACACATTGCATATGTTCGACAATCATCATACACTTGGGATGTGAGAATTCACAACTTGCAATTTTGACCACCTTGAATCAGCTGCTGCCTCAAAACCCTTCTCATCACCTTGTTTGTTGCTGTTCTAGGAAGTGATTCAAGGGTCACCACACCAGAAACCTCGACAACAGAAAAACAAAGTCAAATTGGGAATTACGAGGTTCATACGATGTCAAACTTCTCCATATACTTAACTAGATGCGGGTTCATTTGAGAACAACGAATATTTTTGGAACAAACTATTCATGAATTATTCATGAGGAAGATGAAGAAAATGCATGATGAATATTTAGGTGTATTCATCATGAATAGTTGGTTCTTAAGAAATATATGGTTCCTAAATGCACTTACCCCTGCTCAACATAAATAGCCTTGGATGATAACTGATACCTTAAACAAAGGGTTTAGATTCTTCTGTAAAGCGGAATTCAGTGACACCTTCAGCTTATTCAAGTCAGGTGTTGTTGAACCATTGGCATCTTTGAACACGACTACAATTACCAACCTCTCTGGCCCACCACCACTCGGTGCAACACCTATAGCTGCTGTCTCGAGGATTGTGTCATCAACTGAGTTGCATATGCGTTCAATCTCAACCGAGCTTACCTGCACAGAACACCATACTCGTCTTTAAAGGGTTTTCATAAAAATTAGGCCGTTACCAACACAAATTGGGTAAACGCTACACGTAAGAGGTTCGGACCGGATAAGCATTTTGAAATGGTTGTTTACCGAGTGTTTTGTAGTAAGTGTGCTTACCAATAAAAGACCATCATATTTTGAAATGAAGAGAAAAAAGAAGGGTGTACAACTTATAGGGTGCGTTTGGTACAGGGGACATGCCAAAATAAAAACTTATCCCACGTTTGGTGCGACATTTAGACCTGGACAGGACTGAGTTTTTTTTGTCCCACCAAAATAAGGGGAACAAAAATAAGGAGAGACAAGACAATATTAATAAATTACTAAACTACCCATGTCAAATTAAAACCCTAAAACATTGCAAAATCTTTCACCCGCCCTGCTTCACTCTTGCCCATCCAATCTGGTCTGCATAAGAAAAAAATGAAGATCAAAACTATACCTTGATGCCTCCAAGATTCATGGTATCATCTGCACGACCATGGGCACGATAGCATCCTCTAGGCGTTCGCTCAAATACATCCCCATGCCTTCTTAGAACCTATGATTTAAACATTTAACCAAATGTGAATTCAAACCCCTCATAATTCTAGACATAAGGTGACTTTTTACTTACCTTCCCATTCCAAGAAGGCATGCCTTTGAAGTAAACATCATAGTGGTTAGCATTTAGAAGCGTGCTTGATGCTCCAAACATGAGAGGATAAAGAGCCAATTCACCAAATCCAGATACATTTGGTGGCTATAACAAAGATACCAACACCAAATAGATTAGAGCATCTCCAACAGCTTCTCCATAATATCTCCGAAATGAAGAAGCAATAGTCAAAATCTCAAAAAAAAAACATCCGACTCCAATAGTATCTCCATTTTAGAGACTTAAACTGGGAATTTTTTCCTGGGAAGGATAAAAATTCATTCTCTCTCTTCCTTCATTTAATTTTAGAGTATTCTCCAAATTTGAAGAAATTTCCCCCCTCTCTCCTACTTTCTCCATTTCTGAGAAGCTATTGGAGCAAAAGAAGTGCCTAAAAACTCCAAAAACTTAGGTTTCTCCATGGTTACGACTGAAAAAAGTTAAACAACCCATATATTTTTAGCTTTTGGAATAATTAGCAGTAAGTGTATGATTGACCACAAAGCTACTTTCTTGGGGTTGGGGGTGGTGATTGGTTGGTAAATTGTGCTTACTATAGGGATTCCATCTTTGCCAAGGATAAACAGATTACATCCTAAAGTGGGTGTGCTGAAAGCAGACAAGCACTGAGGCTGCAGTAATGATCCGGTAATAAAACCACCGCCAATCTCTGTGCCCCCACAATACTCGATCACCGGCTTGTATTTAGCTCTTCCCATCAGCCAAAGATATTCATCCACACTAGATGCCTCACCAGTCGATCCAAAGCACCTACCAAATCAGTTCAGCTTAGAAGATGAACATAAAAGTAGAAAGAGAATCAGATCTAGCATCACAATCTACATGTGATGAACAGCCCAACTATTTTTTTAACATCAGAACTATTGTACATTATAACACAATATGACCCATGTGTCTCGTTGGTTATGATAATATCATAATACTCACTCCGCCAGATAATCAGGAATATTCTATAAATTGGGGAAAATGACCCAGCCATTGTTGGGTCCTCTGATTAAAAGACCTTCTGACACGGTTTTCTTTTTAAATCCATGACCTTACAAGTTTGAGAACGCCGCTTAACAGAAGAATGTCACTTCCATACACAAAGAATGCCTAGAAACTTGTGAGAAGGTCATGAATATAAAAAGCACTTGTTGAGAGGTCATTTAGCTAAATAACTCACTGTCGTTGCACTTTGAATGATAGCACGTTCGAGGGAAGAGGGCATACAAAATTTCTGAGCAATATCAAATAGAGTTTCCAATGCGTTTGAAACTCAAATGGGGTAAAATAGTCTATTAACCCAATTGACAAACTTATGTCAATCAGATTTTAACTAGAAAAAAAATAAAAATGACCCAAATATTTTGCTTTGGACAGTAGTAGAACAGAATAGAAGGGAGTGATTTGATACTAGAGTTAGGATTCAGCAATAGCCCAAACATGAACTCAAGACTAAGCACTCACCGGATGGTTGACCAGTCACAGCCAGCTGTACTATTCTTTGTTCTCCATGCCCTTACAATACTTGGGATCACTCCCAACACTGTTACTTTTGCATCCTGAAAAAATTCAAGCAGCTGCTATAATATAAACATTGAAAATGAAATTACACAAATGCAACATGAGTTGGTGATGGTAAGATATAGGCTGATAACAAAACAACAAACTTTTTATCCCAACTAATTGGAGATGGCTAAATATAGAGAAAATAGGCACGTTGCTGCAAGATTCAAGGTTACGAGAAAAAATGTGGTGTTAAAATGAATCTAGAAGTGAATAAAATTTCAAGAGAACCTGAACAAACTTGGCAAACCCAAAACTGAGGGGAGATCCATTATACAAGGCAAGTGATGCCCCATTCAGCATTGAAGCATAAACTAGCCAAGGACCCATCATCCATCCAAGATTAGTGGGCCATGCAAGAACATCACCTTTGTTGACATCGGTGTGGCACCAACCATCTGCACCAGCCTTGAAAGGTGTTGCAAGGGTCCATGGAATTGCCTTTGGTTCCCCTGCGTTCAATTCATTCTATTAGTAATTGTTCTATACATATATTCCCTTTGACCATACAGAATCAATACCCTTGTAACACATTCCTTTCCAAACTAATTAGGTTAGGATAAGCTAAAAATGAAAGCAAATGAGAAACCCAAAAGTTTATATAAAGACCCCTAGAACCCTAGGGTTTGGTGAATGAATGGTGTCCACAATCAGATATCTCTATTCAGTCTAGGGATGCTCACAGTAGGTTAATGAACTGAAATGAGGTTTTGGTAGGTTAACCTAACAAATCAGTTTGCCATTCTCTTGAACCGGAACCTCACTGAAAAACCAGGTTAACTGGTAAATCAGTTGCTCAGTTTTCAGTTCAGTTACCCGGTCAACCAATTAACTCGTCAAGCAAACTTTAGTAGTCCATTAGTGAGAAAGTTGGAGAGAAAATTACAAACTGAGGGTTAGATGTTTACAAGTCTACAAAAAAATAGACCACTAAATTTTTTAATAGGGAGAATTACAACAAACAGGGGGTGGGGTAAACAAAAGTTTGTCTTAGGAAAAGATTATTCACCCAGAATAAGTCCTATAATTTAAGAGAATACATTTTTAATATGATGCATATAACACCTAAAAAACATTTAAAACAAGATAAAATGATAGATAATAAAAACAAAAGATATGTTAAACAAGATAAATTTAATATTTCAATAACCATCCGACTCTAAAATCATGAGCCTAAACAGACCTGGAAAAAGAACTTTTATATCAGTTTGGTTAGCCAAACCAGTGTTAGTAATAAATAAATTCGGTTCTAGTTGATCAAAAAGGGTTTGTTGGTTTTTGGTTCACTTTTTGGATTTTAACACCACTACTATTCATCGCTTGATCAACTCTAACTATTCCAACGACCTCCTCTAGGTACAAGTTTCCTCTTAAGGGCTACATTGGTGATGAACAAGCCACCTCAAATGGTGTCGCCTCAGATTTTCCTCAACTAGTGCAATCCCACCTTCCTGTGCCTATCCTCAGTTACAATCCTATCCCTCCATATATGGCCAAACATCCACCTCAACATTCTCATTTCCACCACAAACATCATATAGTTTGAAGTTAATCACAAATACACAAATCTGCATCTTTGTGAAGACAGTGGGTCAAAGAGAATTTATGTTTCTACACAGCGTTACGACAAATAAAAAAAATGATGTTATTAGCTGTAAATTAGCTATTTCTGAGTTTAGCCTCATCTATTTTAGGATGTTTATTATGTGATTCATCACCTCTAAATGAGTGGAGATCATTTCCTAATTTGTAGCCTCTCAGTTGTATATATATTCAACTGATGTATATAGAAGATAATAAAAGGAAAACACGATTACTTTCATGGTATCAGAGCTAGACTCGATACCCTAGCTCTTGCTCTCTTATCATCAGAGATCAAACCACGGTTTGATTTCATCCCTGCTGTCCTCTTCCTGCTACCGTCTTCCTTTCACCCATGAATATTAAGCCTGAAAACGCTCCTAAGGCCCTTCACCTTGTCTACACCGTGACCAATATTCAACACAAGGTCCGGGTGCTTGACGGCACGAAGGTCTCTTACTCCTCGTGGGTCAAACTGTTTCAACTTCATGCCAAGGGATACAAAGTCATGTCACACATTGACGGGACACCGCCTCCGGC